ATAAAAAAAATATTCTTTATAAAAAATAAATTAAAGATAATAATATATATAATCCACAAAATGTAGTATAATGCTAATCATTTATTAATTTGAAAAAGCTTGTAAAGTATATTTAAAAAAATGCGAGACAGATTCATCTATTCTATAAGACAGCGTGCATTTTCAGGTTATGTTACTCGCCGTTTGAGCTTAGATACGCTGTGTAAATTGTAAACATAGCCTCATCGATCTGGATATATAATTATCGCAAGAACGCACATGAATTTACAAGTACAATATAGACAATATACAGAAAAATAGATATAATCCTCTCGTCAAGAGAAGGAAATTGCAAAGTAGGCGGGAAACGAGATCTCTCTTTCAAAGCCGATGCCAGAAAAACGCAGATCGAGGAAAGAGCAGGCAGGGATGAAGAAGCACATCTATATCATCCGCGTCGATACGTACCGACGTATTTTACAGATTGATAGAGCCGATTTGCATGCGTGAGTCTGGTGGGCAATCGGCCAATGGCCCTACCGCATGCGAACATTTTCGCCGGGTCGGTCGTCCGTTGGCCTTATGCAATGTAGTGACGTTCCTCTCAGCTGCTGCCGTGAGCGGCGATCAGTCGCTGGTTATTGCTGCTTTTACTTTCGACCGGAAGGACGCTCGCCGGAAGGATGCTCACCACGCGACACGCCATTACCTGAGGTTCTCTCTTCCTTGCCCTGCCCTGCCCGGTCGCACCGAGTCGTCTGAGGACGACTCTTTACGCGGCAGTGGGAAACCGATAGGCGAGACACACGTGAATTTAATAAAGAGCCACTTTACACCGCGAGGTACATATGTATGTACGCACGTGTGTCACATACGCACGTACATATGTAGCGCGCCGGAATCAATTGGGATGAATGATTGAGCCAGTTTGAATGGCTGATCGCAACTGACTTCAGATTTCAGATAGGGATATCGATCTCCTATAGAGTTAAATAAAATAATAATGCGGAGAATATACAATAAAATATAATAATCTCAAATTTGAAAGGAATATAATGATTATTTATAATTATTTTTCCCTTATAATTATATATATTTTACACGTAGAGTTCTTATATGCTCGATTATATATATTTTATATATTTTAGTAACAGCGTTGTATTATTGTATTAATGAAGTAGAGATGAATGATTCTCTTATCTTCATTAAAATTAAGATTTAATCAGAGATAAAAAAAAAAAAGAAATCAGAGATTGGCTCTAAAATATTTTTAATTCCTTTGTGCTTAGCTTCTTTTATTACCAGCGTTATGTCATCAATTATTTAATGACGTAACTTATCATCTGAGAAAAGAAGATAGTTAACGCGCGCTATGTGCTGCAGATGGTGCATGTTGTATTATTTTTTATCTGGACTTTCTATTATACGACTGTTCCTATTCATTTACTATACACAATATGCAATATATACAAGTATATATGTATATTTACTTTTTTCAATAAGAATTTCCTATAATTTTACTCTTTTAAATTTGACAACGCATATGAAAATTATTTATAAACGTTAAAGATAAAAACCTAGCTTACACATAACACAGAAAAATCGAATATTAACAATTTTATTTTAATGCCTTTTGTTTGCTTTAATAAAATTCTATCTGTTATTGAATTAACAATTGGTATCTAATGATTTATATATTACCTTATATATAATGATTGATATCTTAAATTCTCTCTAATATTTATATATGATATCTCTGCATCGCTCTCATTATATTGTATCTATTATATGATTAAACGTCACATCAAAGATTTAGTTATCGATTAGCAGTATTAATAGTAGTATTAATAATAACAGAGATATAAGAACGCGCGGATGAACGTACACTATTATCGATTATGTAGTTATTATATAATTAACACACATGAAACAGTTTCGCGATCATATGATGAACTAATATTATTGATCTATTGTTTCTTCGCCATTTTATAATGATAAACTTTTATGAGACTAAAATATATATGATTTATAGTTATACAGTAACCCCAAAATAAAAATTAATAATTACTTGTCATTAATATGTTATGCCTCTTTCTCTTTCTCTCATCCTTTCCGCCATTTTAACATTTGGAATCTTCTGAAATTTTTTTTATTTTCTATTTTGCGAGTGTACGATTGTAGTTTTTTTTTTTATAATATGGTCATATATAAAAATACAATTATATTAGCACAAAAAGAATCGTGAGAAACGTTTATTGGCGATCATTATTAATATAAATTGTACATTCTATAATATATGATTGCGCAGAAATAATCGGTATATCTTGTCATTCCATGTTTATGGCTGTAATCAAATATGTTCTTATTAATAATGTAAATATGTATTCGCTTTTATCTTTGTAAAAATCCAGTAAAACGTTCGCTTATTTTTGAAACCATTGTATTTATCATGATTTAGCAATTCTTTTCCATTAAACATGATAAGATCACAATTATCTTAAATACATACAGATAAATTGCAATGAAATATTATTTTGCTTACGATATCTGACAAACATTACGCATTCTTTAAAATGAATCTACGTATTCGCTCTTTTGATCATGACTACAATCGCTATTGCACTCCCTATAGAAAATATGTGTATTATATATACCTCTATATTATTATAATCCACTACTAATTGTAAGACAAACTTAATATAACTTTAGCTCATTTCAAACGTAAATACAATGCTTAACGAAAACTATATATTTGAAAACTTATAAAATAAATGAAATTGCGTGCATTGTATATTGAAAATAATCTTAAAATATGTCTTTTCATAATTTATCTTTTTATTAAATATATTTTTTACTATATTAATTTATATTATATATATATTAAATACTATATTAATTTTATTACTCTCAAAAATTTAGTAATATAAATATTATAATTGCTCTGTTATCTCTGAAGAAATTCCAATGAATCATCTCTACTTGGGGAATCATCATGTTTATTAATATTGAGCAATGCGGTCCCCATTATTACCTATAATTTTCTAATCGTTCTGATCAATATATATAAAGCGCTCAAATTATTTAACGGTATTTTATTACCAGATTTCACAAACGCTCAGCATTCCTCAAAATGAAGATGTACGTGTTCGCCCTTTTGATCGTAGCTCGGTCGCCCTCGCACTCCCTAATGAAGGTATGATCAGAAGAGTTAAATATATTTAATATATTTTCATAATTTAACGATATCTCAACGAAAATATACGGCTTAAAGAGAATGTTCGCATGCGAATGATAATTTTTTATATAAATTAAATATGATACGTACGGGCGTTTTCATTTTTATACATTAAAAATAATCCTTAAAATATATTTAAATGTATATTTGTATAGTAAATAAAAATACTATTGTTACTACTTACATACGAAATTTTTAAAGTAACTTTTTAAGTTTTTTTGTAATTATTTTAATTTTTAATTTTTTAATTGTTTAGATAATAATAATTTTCTTTATTTTATGATTTTGTCTTGAGGTAATAACATCATTTCTCTGTTATGCATTTTAGATAAGAATGCATCGGTGCGTCTAGACTTACTAGGCGCAGAAGGAAGATAAATCTTTAAAATTGCAAGTGACACCTGTTAAAGAATACTATCGCACACGTAGATTCACTTGTGATCTTTTATCTGCTGTGCGCGTTGAACATAGCGCTTGCGCTGCCCACTGCCTTTTCTTAGGAAAAGCCGGAGGAAGATGCAATAGTAAACGTGTTTGCGTATGCCGCAAGTAAGTCATGATTTCCGCGAATAATTACAACCTTATTATATTTGTGATTATACTTTAATGATAAATTAATCATAGTTTGATTAATATTAACACATTGTATGCGGGCTCCAAACTAACTGAAAATAGTATTTTTCTTTCCTGCATACAATGTATTAAATTCTTGTTGAAACTGACATATTATATCGTAGATTTAATAATGATTCGATAAAAAAAAGAAATGTATACGTGTGTATATATAAAATGTCAAGTTATTATTATTCTATAACGTTTTCTTCGTTATTTTCTTCATAATTTCAGGTAGCCGATTGGCTACATCCATCTATATAAATCATTCTCTTAAATAGATTAGAATGGAATTTTAATGGATATACATATATGTTGCGTATAATTCAAACATTGAGATTTTACTTTGAACAAATGTATGTACTAGAAAAAAAAATTCTATAAGAAATATATTCTAAATATGTAAAAACAATATATA